TCTCTCTCTCTCTCTCTCTCACTATATATAAGCAAAACTGCAATCAATCTTATGATCGATTCCTGCCTGAAGTTCATCCATTCATTCATGTATTCAACAAAAGCCTGTATTTATTATGGCTTAAAAATTGCAATTTCTTGCAAATGACTCACAACTGCATTGTTTGGCATCAGTTTATGTGGAAAGTGGTCTCAACTTTCTCGAGATCCACCTCTCATTCACGCCAATAGACTACACATTTTCATTCAATACGAGTCTATGTATTGACAATTGATATTATTTGTGGAAATGCCAAACAAGCCATACAAACAGCGATAACAACATGTTTTCGTTACAAAATATTTATCAATCATATGCTTATAACTATTTATAGTTGATTTCAAGTGACTTTTCTATTCGTTGCATAACTACTCTAATTGTGAAGTGAATGCGAAAGTGATTGAAAAACTCAAGCGAAAAGTGTTTCAATGGGTTTTCACTCATAGACTGAAAGACATGTGTTTAGTGTCTGTCTATACCCATAGGTGTCGCACAAAACAGTTATGTTTTTCACGTTTGACTCAATAGTACGGAGAGTGAAGTGCGAGAGTGAGAGACAGTGAGAGAGAGACTGACAGTCAGTCTCACTGTTAGTGTTTGTGTTGAATGCAGTGATTGTGTTGTGCACTGAGTTTGTGGTGATCTCTTGTGGTCACAACGGATCCCGCGGCCGATGGTTACCGACCAGTGATTACCACTGACCGACACACAGACATGTCATCGGCGGCCAAACATCAGGACTGGTTTATGATGACCGGAGACCTCATCATAAACCTGACGAACACCAAGTCTGGAGACATGTCGTACCACAAGAGGAATATGCGGCTCAAGTCGACCCCCAATCTGATCCACTCGTCGCGGCTCCAGAAGCAGTGCAACTCAGAGCCCAACTCGCCGTCAGACGCCGACCAGTGGTGTCCACTGAACGGTGATAATAGTGGCCATCGTTTGGACGAGAAGGCGCTAAACCATCGGAACAATGGCTTTGAGCACAAAGAGACACAAACCCAGCATTTGGTGCACTCTTTGCGCCCAAACGGTGACCCAAACGGTGGACACAAAAAGCATTTCAATTGTAATAATAATGAGAGAAACGATGCGATGAATGAGTTTGTGGTGAAACGACAGATGTCTTTGCCTTTGGTTCGCTTCCATAAAAGCGATGACCAGTTGTTGACGTCAGACATCACTGTTGTGGACATGAACTGCTCCGAAGACTGCAGTCACTCAATGGACACCATATTGAATGACAAGCAATCGGACGACTCGTCCGATCACAAGGACTCCACCAATTCGGGCGATTGGAGTCCAGATAATGACCACCACTTCATCAATGATGACGAGGAGGAGCTGTTATCGCACTCCACGTCCAACAAGTCATCGCCAGATGACAGCCAAAGCTTAACCATCTCTTCTGCAGCCATTTCGCCGACGAAGACGTTGACGACAATGAATACAATGAACGAACAAACGGAGTCTTCGATGTCTGAAAACTATTCACTCATTAGTTCCCTTTCGTGTCAAACGATAGATCAAAACCGAAAGAAATCTTCATTTAAGAAACACAACAATCAGTCGATGTCTCTCTCGTCGTCTCTCAGCGACGACTCGACCACTCCTTCGACATCACCCGAAGACCAAGTCTTGCGAAACAATTTCGATGACTTCAGTCCCTCTTATAATGAACTCAAAAGTGTCAACGATTTGAATGCCATGAATGATGTGATGGACACCAAGAGTAATAAGATTCCCAATCGAGTGTCGGTTCCAAAGGGACCGCAACTTATAGACAATAGACTTAACGGTGTGTCGACGCAAACGCAACCAATGAATGGTTCTGACGAGGAATCGTCTGATACTGAGAGCCATTACTCGCCGCCAAAAGGTGTTGACACTCCCAGTGCCGTACGACTGGCCAAACGGCTGTACCATTTGGAGGGCTTTAAGAAGTCCGACGTTTCGCGACATTTGAGCAAAAATAACGAATTCAGTCGAGTGGTGGCCGAAGAGTATCTCAAGTACTTTGACTTCACGGACGACACACTGGACTTAGCCTTAAGAAAGTTTTTGTCACGATTTTGTCTCATTGGAGAGACACAGGAAAGGGAGCGCGTATTGGTTCACTTTTCCAAACGTGTGTACGACTACAACCCTACCGGTTCCTTCAAGTCCAACGATGCCATACATACCCTCACCTGTGCTCTCATGCTTCTCAACACTGATCTTCACGGAGAGGTATGTCGTTATCTGTCATATGAGTGATGTGTTTGTAATGTGTTTGTGATGTCTGAGCAGAACGTGGGCCGCAAAATGACATGCAATGAGTTCGTCCACAACTTGTCGGGAATGAACGACGGATACGACTTTCCCCGGGAAGTCCTCCGATTGCTATATCAGGCCATCAAAGACACGCCTCTCGAGTGGAATTCGTATGGATTTGAATTGTTTGCTGTTTTCACTCATTTTGTTAATTGAATTGTTTTCATGTCTGAAGTGACGAAAGCCATGAAAGTCATGACACAATAGATGGGAGGAATGCCATGGAATTGATGGCAGCAAACCTGAGCCAACAGATCAGTATTATAGGTCACAACCCATTTCTAGAGGTGCCGAACCCTAACTGTGCGACTGAATACAAAAAGGGTTATGTTATGCGAAAATCATGCTATGAAGCAAATGGGAAAAAAAGTAATCATTTGTTTTAAAGACATTAAGAATGATTGCAATTATTGACACGATTTGTATGTCATTGATAGCGCCGGTAGGGAAGAGGGGGTGGAAGATGTTCTACGCGACGCTCAGAGATCTGATTCTATACTTACATAAAGACGAACAGGGATTCAGGAAAAACCAATTGTATGAGAGTCTAACCCATTCCATACGAGTACATCACGCCCTCGCCTCCAACGCCACCGATTACACCAAAAAACAGTTTGTTTTCCGACTCCTCACTGCAGACCACTCCGAATACCTCTTCCAGACCAGGTATTGGCACTCACTTGCCATTCATTTGTGGCTAATTCTGTGGTGATATTCACTGTTTTGTCTAACATTTGCAGTGATTCGAGAGAATTGCAGACTTGGATCGACACAATCAATACAGTGTCCGCTAGTCTTTCATCCCCTCCTCTTCCAGAAGCTGTCAGCTCCTCCAAGAAGTTTCAAAGACCTCTGCTTCCCGTCAGTCATACGAAATACAATCTGGTATTAAACATAATGTTCTCTATTTTATATGGGATTCTAATCCATTGATTGTTTGACACTCAAAGTCTCAACAACTCTTGGATCACGAGAAACGAGTCGAGCGATTGGAGACACAACTCGATCAGCATTTATCGAAAGCTCTCCAAAGGAAAGCCTCAAAGAGACAAATGAATGAATTCGCGGAAAAGGAGAGTTATTTACAGTATGAGGTATGTCTCGCAAACCATATCAATGATTGACTTTTAAGTTATTTATGCCGTAAAATGATTTGACAATTGCTTTTATAGCTAAAGAGATATCGAGTATACGTGTCTTCACTCCAATGGAAGTTATCTCAACTCAATCTCTTGAATACTCTGAACTCAACCCCAATACTGAGCTCATCGGCAGCTCAACCGCTACTGTCGGTGGCGATCGGCGAGGAAACGGGCGACGACTCGAACGACACTCCCGTCATAACTACTGTTAAAAAGAGTTATTCAACCGATAGGTAATAATAAGACATTTAATTTTTTACCGCAATTGTCATATATACTGAAAATACAGCACAAATTACATAATTATGAAAAGCTTATATGTTATCATTGAGTGAATTCTTATTTGATTTATTAAATTCTTAATCGATTTATAGTTTAAATATGTTTAAAAATAGTAATGAAAACGATTTTGATAGCAATTTTTAGTGCATAACTTTTGCGTGCTTTTTAATAATCGGTTAGAGTTTAAGTCATTTTTTATTTCAAGTTTAATTTGTTTGAGAGTCAGTTGATTATTGCAACGATTTTTATAATGTACACAATTAAAACAAGCCATTGCAATCGGTATCGAAAGTAAACATATAGTTTATTAGTTTAATACCTCTGTTTTACATGAAATGTCAAATAGACAACTTTGATTTATCATTTTATATGCATTTTAAGCGTTATTTTGATATTTTATTATGAATTCTTTGAGATCCGGATCATTTAATTGAATGTTTTTAAATGTTAACTGTTTTTATGAATTATTTTACAAATTATAATATAAATTATTTATTATTTTTGTGTATAAAATGCAAATATATATGTGATATAATGTTTAGATTTGTTTTTTAATTATTACTTACTTTTTACTTTATTTGCAATAAAAAACTTATTTTAACGAATAAACACTTCATTAAGTTTAAGTTTTATTTCATTTATTTTTATTATTTTTGCCTTAATTTACAATTAATTTAAAATTTATTTGCTCACTATTTTTACTAACTTTTTATTTATTTCTTTATTTTTATTTATTTCCTTTTAATTTATTGCTGTTATAACTGATAATTTAAATATTAAACCAATTGAGTATCCATTCACTAACACCTGTTAATTATACTGTAGTCTGAACTCGTTTCCAGGATTTATTATAGTTTAGGTTTTATTTAGAAAATAATAATTACAAACTTATTTTGTGTAATTTGTGTAAATATTTTCGCATAATTTTATACGAAAAATATTTTGAAAACTAATCTAAATTATTTACTAACATTTACTTTTAGATATAGCTATAAACAGGCGATTTATAACAATAACAGCAAACATATTAAATACTAAACTCTCACTACTATTCGTTTCCAAACAAAAAAACTTTTTAATCAACTCATTGTCTCAAAAGTCCGTCCAATTGATTGATCGAAATGTTGTTTTGATTAACTTATTAATCGGTGTTAACACTAATAGCTCACAGACTCGTAACTGCTTTTAAGAAAGTATTTGTAAAATACAGTGAAATATAAGTTTAAGTCATGTAATCACTCGAAGACAGCTAATGATAACGACTTGAAATGACACGGAATCCACAATTCGTATCGAATTTTTTATTTGTGCATAAAATTCATTTCATAACCAAAGGCCTCAGCGATGGTGTCGGAGGTGCCGGTGCTATACAGTACATCCCGACTGCGAAGATTGACTCCAGTTTTTACATCATATTTACATTTTAAATGATTTTTTGTTGTTTAAAATTTCAACTAATATATTATGATATATGGGATAATCATATAAATTATAATAATATCCGAAAAAATCTAGTCTTAAATATCGAGCGCTTTATTTGTGCCAAAAGCGGAAAGTATTTGAAAAATGCGATAATTATAAGTAAAGTATTGAAAACATAATTGATATAAATTATTATTAATAATTCGTTATTAATTCTTAGCCAATATTGAATGCAAAACTTTTATTACGATTTTTTAATTTTATTATTTATTTGTATATAAAAATATTACTGTAAAGACTGAAAAAAGGGCTCATAATATGCCATAATAATGACTACAAATATGCGATATTTAAGCAATTTTATTGTATAATAATTGGCAGCTCTGCTATGAATGAATGAATTCATATATAAATTCTGACAAACATTTTGTTGTAAATTAATTCTCCTATTATTGTCATAATTTTTTTATTCAATAATAAAACCTTCAATTTGAACACCAAAAATCAACATTTACCATGTTATAATCATTTCACTTTGCTTGTTAAACATTTTATATGCTTTTGTACAATTGTTTGCATATTGTTTATCGGCATAAATAAATATTAGTCTAATTACTCACTACATGTATTAATTATTTGGGAAATTTTGGTTTTTACAATTGTCATCAAATCTGAATCGCTATCAGTTTTCCTACAATTCGCTATCGTTTTGGGGATTTGTAATACATTTGGTCTGAAATATTAATAATGTTTTTACTTAAATAAATGGATTGTCTCTGCGGGGAGTCTCGAGTCTCTCATTGGCTCAAGAATTATGTCTTATGGTTAGTATTCAGACACATCTGTGGAAACACTATACCATTATGTCTCACATAATGTAATCTCTTTTAAATCGAAATATAAATTCTAAACACATTTCTGTATTGTCTTTAGACTTAAAAAGTATTAAATTTAGTATTACTGTTAGGAATTGCGATGACACTAATCGCACGAAAGTGTTTTTAAAAACAACAAATATTTGTTTGAAATTTAATAGTTTTCTAATTCTTGACCGATACACCAATATTACATGAAATTATTCAAATTATAGACTTGAATAAACTTTTTATGGAATAAATATGACATATAATCCATAGAAAGTACAGTGCAATACAGTCCATATACAATATAAGCCATAAATATACTTAATTTATTTTATAATTGATTAAAAGTGTAGCGAAATTTATAATTTATTGTATCAATTATATACAGTGTATTCATCAAATAGGCTAATTCATAAATAATAATTTAGATGTCTAACTATGAACAAAAACATTTTAACTATTGGTTGATTGGGAATAAATTAGTTTACGTCATATTCAGTGTAGTATTGGTATGATTGCTGATAACGAGTACAAAGTTTTCATTTGTAGTCTATGTTTGCATTGAGAGGGGATTCAGAGGAGAGACAGAGAAAGGGAGCGAAGAAATAGGAGAAACAAAAAGCACTCCACAATCGTCTCATCTTATATACAATCAGCAAATTATATAAACATTGCCTCTAATAAAGTGCACACTTTCTTGCCTTCAAAACTCACTTATTGTCCAAATTTGGATCCATTTGATTCAAATTCATTATTCAAAAACTTCTGTAACAATGATTGCGAGTATGCAATTGAATCGTATTACTCTAATCACTGCTTTTATACTACTTATAAATCAACAAATTTTATTCTGTGAGTATTACTTGTATTTTCTGTTTAATTAATTAAATGCTCTCATATTGTACTTATAAGTGCCCTAACGAAATATGAATAAATCCTTTAATACTGTTATACTGTACTTATCTTTTATGTAATAAAAGTGGATTAAAGAATCAAAATAAATTATACATTACAATTGTAAACATCTGAATATATCGTAATAATACTAACGTTAGAAGATAACAAAAACATCCTGAGAGTTATTGTAATATTGTTAAACTATTAGAATTTGTTTATTATTATTCAAAATTTATACATTTTGATTTATTTAACTTAAATTATTTTGAACTAGAGAATTATAAGTTAGTTTAAACTTTAAAGATAAAAACATTTTAAGTTTAGTATTTTTGAGTTCATATTAAATTAGTATCGACATAATATTTGACATACATGTTTGGTAGTATTTGTCAAAAGCAAAAAATCATTAATTCAAGGGATAAGTTATGATAGAGTTTGCAAAAAATTCAATAGATTATCAAACAAACACATAATGAGTTGACATTATAATCTACTCTATAGTTAAGGACTAAAGTTTTGTATACAAAATTAAACAGAATATTATTACATAATACTCTTATTGAAACTAAATTGTAAGTTATTTGTTTACTAAAAACAAATAAATTATATCGATATAAGTGTTTTTATATTGCTATATTATAGAATTCAAATGCGTGTACATCACCAATCAACTTTTGTAAAACAAATTACTTGAGTTATTTCGATCTGAAAGTTATACAATCTCTAAGCTAAATTCAATCAAATTAATAAATAAATTATTTTTAAATCAAATATTAATACACCTAATTAAATATAAAGTAAATGTTGACCTTTGAATACCAATTAAATATATAAATAATTTAAAATTCATGATTTGTAATAGCATGAAACTATAAAATAAAGTCTACGATAATATTCTGTACTTGTATATACATAGAAATATGTGAATAACTGTAGAATTATTGAGTTTTAATTTCTCAATGAATTTTAAAAACAGGAAATACATATCAATTTGATAATAGCAATACTATTTAATCAATCAAATCATGTAAATGTCAAATGTATTAAAAGAGAATTCATTTTATTTTATGAATGAATGTTAGTTAAACGTGTTTATTTCAAAAATTATATTTAATCACTTATTATCCTTTATTATATTGATATAATTATCAATTTATATAAATTTTTGCTCTCAATTTTAATTAATAACTTGATAGCATTTTATATTTGAACTAATTTTATAATACATTATTAGTAATAAATATTCAGATCTAGTGGAAGTTTAAATTTATTGCAAATTAATAAACTATAGACTTAGTTAAAAATTTATAACATTTAATGTTAGAAACCCAGAAAAATATCTACTTTATTATAACATTATTATAACATCTACGATATTATTATATCTACAATAAATAAAATATGATTTAAAAGCAATTCAAGACTACGATTAGCGAACATGTTTTAGCATTGAATTTCTGAATTAGATTTAGAAAAAAAATTATAATTCATTGAATGACAAACTGATAGTTTAGATACAGATATTTTTATTGGCAAATATTTATACCAATATCTCATGAGACGGCAGTTTTGTAAGAATGGAAATAATCATTAATTACAATCTAACGAAATGGCAAATCATGGCTTAACATAATATAATGCATTAATTTTCACACCAATTCAGGTGTTGCTCAACAAACCGATGTTAAAACAGCCGAACAATCGGTGACAACAAAACTATTGCATACATCACCGCAATTGGCGGCCAATGGCTTTTCGGACGCCTTGTCCCACACTAGAGACGGTCCGCCGGAGTTGTCAAAAGCCACTCCAATCGCGTGCTATGAATGCAATTCCTTTGTAGACCCCGATTGTGCCGATAAGCCGCAGAACTTCGTCAAGAACTGCACCAATTCGTGGGAGGGCTCGGCTATCATCGGCTGCAGGAAAATAGACCAATGGGTCGACTATGACGGCGGCGAAGGTCTGCAAAATGGATCCATTTTTACGTATATTATGCTAAATATTGTGTATGTTGTTTAGGTCTCCATAAACACCACCGAGTGATCCGACAGTGCGCTGCCGACGGAGACATATCTAAGCCGTGCTATTATAGGGCAGGATTTGGGGGTCGGATCAACGCCTGCTTCTGTGAT